AGGTGCGTCGATCTCACTTCGGTCATCTCCTCCCCCAAACCCCTCGTTGAAATGCAGCCTCCTCCACTGCATTCCTTCCTTTCTCCTTCCTTACAGTCTCATCGCGCCCTCTTGCGAGTGTAGGATCACTGCGAGTTGAGGTCTGTGAGCAGGAAGGAGGCGACCGCCGGCGGCCATCATGGGAGAAGGAGGAGGAGCAGGGGGTCGTGCATCAATGTGTTGTCGTTATTGCCCATGGAGGAGGCGAGTGCCGGAACAGCGGGCAAACGCAGGACTCTCGGTGGAGCGGGAATAGACGCCAGTCGGTTGCTACAGGTAAGTTGTACCTGGGAACTTTAGTCCCACATCGCAGATTTAGTCGGATTTCAACTGAATTATAATTTTTTTCCCTCGGCCAGGGTATCACCAAGCAACAAGAAAAGGAGACAGTAGCATGTAGGGTATGGTACGGTAGTTGGTGTATAAGATACGGTCTTAGAGTTGTTGGCAGGGCACAGGTATAGGGGTCTCCGAACTATAGTTTTATTTGCCAATATATTAGAGTGGCCTATTTACAAAGGAAAATGGTGATATTATATACCCGGTATATCTTTACTAGACGTATAGGAACATTAATGTTCATTTTAGTTTTACCCTTCTACCAATTTGCATTGTTCATAACATGGATTGTATTATTTTGATATCTTGTGTTGTTGTTTCCATGTGAGAATATTAATATTTCTTCATAAATGATGAAGCTTCTATAGTTCATATTTTGTATTATTAAGTGATGAAGCTTTGTGTGTTGTTAAGTCACCAATCCTATTGTCGCGTCAACAAAAATAGAGGATACGGTAAGTCATGGACTCTGATCCTCAGAATTCTGACACTTGAGGACCGTTGCTCCAAAATGCACACCCCGCGGGGTCACACACAATGCATGTGCTTGAAAAATGTGTAGAACAGGATCCTGACACCATGAAGAGGCTCAAGGATACAAGTAGATTTACCAAACTGCAATGTGGAATGCATACACCGGAAATCTTGGTAAATACTTATGTGCAACATACAAGAACGCCATCTAGAGCAATGTATGTACCTCTCCAATCGGCATGGACGTGGATCTTCATTATCTGCCCCACATTATTAGTGGTGAGGTTTTCTATTTGGAGGATGTACATAAAGAGAGTGGTATTTTTGGCATCTCCCCATCTCAAGGTAAGTTAGCATGCTCAAAAGCATCTTATTTTTTTGCCTTCTCAGTCTTTTTCTTGCACATTTGTTCACAATGCTTGCAGGAACATAACAAAATGAAAAGCAGTTGTCCTAAAAACACATCACAAATATTCTTCAAAAGTGTTTTGCAACTTCCAGTGTGCTTCCTTGGAGAAGATGAAGAACATCAGCTTTTTTTAAACACATGATTTTTTTAAGACATGCCTACATCGGATGATGAATTACGCAATGTAAGTCCAACCCATAAACCATAAGGAAATCAATGAAGGGCAACTCTCAGTTTTCAAATTTTAGTCTTAGTGCCCCTAAGAAGGATTTTGAGTTATTCTAAATATCAGTGCACAACTATCCGTTGTTAGTCTTCATTCATTTTGAGTATTTCTTGTTTCAGTATACTTGTCGTTCTTGAGTTATCATTCATGCTAGTTTGCATGTAACAAGATGATGTGCCAGATCTGCATGTCGAACCACACTAACAAGAATTCTTCGGGTTTACCATTTGGGCCCTCTAGGGTGGGCTGAGTGTTGGAAAGCCCAACAGGGTCGGGGTGGTGTGGAGCTGAACATTGAGACCACGAGGAATCCGACCTGAAAGCCAAATGAAATTAGATGAATTTCCTTACAAACGGCGGAATGAACTCAACTCAAAGCAACAGATACACGTGGCAATTTGTCATTGAACAAAAGATGACTTAGACCAAAATGAAAAACAAATGTCTGATGGTTATATTAGACATTACCATCCTAATATTCCAGTTGTCCACATATGTCTTGTCCTCCGCCCACCTCTGAGAGTGTCTCCAGCAGTATGCGTATATTTGGTTTTCCATATACCCATATAAGCAATAGTCCAAAAAGATTTATTCTTATATACAGCCGGTTTTTCAACATATTGTCTATATTTTCTCTCCTTTATTTCAACACATCTTATAACTACCAATTCAACAACTATAATTCAAACGGTTTGTAGTTGTAACAGTTATAATGCTACCAACTACTTTTCAAACAACTATATTTTTAGTGGCTAGTTTTCCAACAACTATCTTCCAACGGCTAATTTTCAACGGGTACGTTACATGCCTATGCATACCACCCCTCCCACCTATCTCTCAGCACTTCTGAATCCGCCGGTCTCGTCTCCCACAACACAATGAGTGGATGTGAATTCGTTTTGCATATGCTCGTGGATCCGTCGACGTCTTGATCCAACGATGGTGAACTCATCCTTGCAGCATTCGCAAAGGAGGGGGGGAGGAAGAAAATGCTCTGCCCTGGCGGTTCCTAACCAAGATGTCAAACTCTGGATTGCGGAAGAGATGCCGGATTTCTTATAGTGGGAGGACTACCTCAAACAAAACCCTTGATATCCCATAAATTATTTTCGACGAAGGATGGCAATCACATTGTTCTTTATTTGCCTATTTTACCCCTTCTCAGTTAAATTTTAACAAGTCAGTCAGACTAACCCTTTGAATCAAACCAAGAGGTTTGTTCGGATGGAGAGATATTTTTTAAGTTGGAACTTGAACTGGTTCGAAGCTTTGCTTCGAATCGCTTTTCTGCAACACTGCTGGTACACATGTAATAATTTTAGAACCGTCTATTGGTTAGGTGCCTTATTTTGTCACGCCAATCGAATTTTGGAACCTGCCGACATTATATCATTCTTTTTCTTCCTCCCTGCTTCACCGACAATGTCGGCCTAATCGCCAGCTCCCGCCTCCCACGACCTATGACGGTACCGCGCTTGCCTCGTCTCCCCGCCCTTCCCTTAACCACTACTCACCACCGTGTTGTCGCTGCCCCCGCCATCCTTCTAACACCCCCACCCTCGGTTTCTCGAGCGCCGACGATAACCCTTCACCCCTGACCCGAACAGTCAACCCTCGGAGACACTCCCGCCATCGACGCCACAGCGAGCGCTGGCCCTCGCTCACTCACGGCTCACACTCGTCGTGGGGTCCATGGTCGACCCGCCTTATGTACGGGGTAAAGCCGAAATTAACCGGCGCATCAATAATCGAAAATGCTAAACCTACGAAAGAGTATACGTAAGGTTACGAAACGTTCCAAACTAATCTAAACACCCCCCCCCCCGATTTTCAGGGGGTGGGCCCCTCACTCCTCTAAACACCAATCATATTCTTCCACGTTGGCTGGTACGTAAACTTAAGTAGCTCCTTTACGTAAGTGTAGCATTGCCTATCAATAATTCTCAGCAGCCTGATGATTATCAAAAGATAATTAATGTTTTGCCTTTATTATAACTTTAACAATTGAACTACTTCCTCCGTCTAGGTGTGTAAGTCATGTTAGGTTGTGCACCGCGACCAAGGTGGAGGGGAAAACAATAAAACTTAATATGTTTTTGCTAATTAATAACATTGTATGCAATGAACTAACCACTACATGTCGTGTTTGGTAGTCTCAAGTCATTTAAAGCATGCATGACACACATCTTTTATTGGTTGCTATGTGACAAAACAAGAAACGAGATGAGAGTTAATGTACCGTGTCTAAGTGTTTTGGGATTAGGCTGGTCATAGTGGGAAGTAACTTAGACTAGTAACATGCATATGTTACTAGTCTATGTTACTACCTCTATAGTGGGTAGTAACATATGTGTAGTGTCATGCATCACCTCATTTATTACTTTGTAGACTCATTTTGCATTGGGAACCGCTATGTGATGGTAACATATTATGTTACTCTATTTGCCTCTCTCTTCATTAATTATCTGACACATCATCTTTTTTGCTTATGTAACATGTATGTTACTACCTATGTTACTCCCACTATGAGGCTGGTCCTAGTGGGAGTAACATAGGTAGTAACATAGATGCCACGTAAGCAAAAACGGTGATGTGGCAAGTAGTTAATGAGGAGAGATGCAAATAGAGTAACATAATATGTTACCATCACATAGCGCTTCCCAATACATAATGAGTCTATAAAGTAATAAATGAAGACATCTATGTTACCACATCTATGACACTACCCACTATGAAGGTAGTAACATAGGCTAGTAACATATGTATGTTACTAGTCTAAGTTACTCTCCACTATGACCAGCCTGACCAGCCTTATTTGGTTTTCGTGAGATGATTTATTACACACGTAGACGGAGGGAGTAGCATGCGCTCTTTTCACCTCACTCGGTTGATTCAAGCATCAGTTCTTGACACGAAATCGCCGTTTTCTAGAAGGCACGTGGATAATTTCGGCAGCGGAAACAGAGACGAAATCAGCAGGAAGCCAACAGAGACCGGCTCCAGTCAACTTCGCCGTGCTCATCAAGTTTTACTACTAGAAAATAGTATATCGTGCTCAATTAGCTCACTCCGTTGGTATGGTATATAAAAATGGCGACGCAGCAAAGATGTCTCCCATTCCAAGCTGCCTACCACACACACTAGCTGCGAGCAGTACCATCACTGGCTAAAACGTGACCCGCTCCAGTCAACTTCCTCGTCGCCACCACACGACCGCACCTCTCCCATGGCGTCCTCCTCGCCGCCGCACGTCGTGGAGGACGTGCCTCCGTTCCTGCAGCTCCTCAGCGACGGCACGGTGATCCGCTTCACTGACGGCTACCCGCTCCCCATCCCGTCGCCGCCGCCCGGCCAGCCCGTCGTCGACTGGAAGGACGTCGTGTACGACGCCAGCCACGGCCTCAAGCTCCGCATCTACTGATCTACAGGCCGGCGGCGGCCTCCTCCTCCGGGAACAAGCTCCCGGTGATCGTCTACTTCCACGGCGGCGGGTACACCATCGGCAGCTTCGACATGCCCAACTTCCACGCGTGCTGCGTCCGCCTCGCCGGCGAGCTCCCGGCTGTGGTGCTCTCTGCAGACTACCGCCTCGCCCCCGAGCACCGGTTCCCCGCGGGCCTCGACGACGCGGCGAACGTCCTGTCCTGGGTGCGCGGCCAGGCGGCGGCTATTGGGGACAACGCCGACCCATGGCTCTCGGAGACGGCGGACTTCGGCCGGGTGTTCATCGCCGGGGACTCGGCCGGCGGGGGCGTCGTCCACCACACGGCCGTCGGCCTCGCGTCGGGCCGGCTCGGCCCCCTCGACCTCATTCGCGTCGCCGGGTGCGCGATGCTCTGCCCGCTGTTCGGCGGGGAGGAGAGGACGGCGTCGGAGGCGGAGTTCCCGCCGGGCCCGTTCCTGTCGCTGCCGGCGGTCGACCAGGCGTGGCGCCTGGTGCTGCCGCCTGGGTCCACGAGGGACCACCCGCTGGCCAACCCCTTCGGCCCGAATAGCCCGGCGCTGGACGGCGTAGCGCTGCCGCCGATGCTCGTGGTGGCCGCCGCGCACGACCTGCTGCGCGACCGCTCCGTGGACTATGCCGCGAGGCTCAAGGCCATGGAGAAGCCGGTGGAGCTCGTGGAGTTCGAGGGGCAGCACCACGGGTTCTTCGCCGTCGAGCCATACGGCGACGCCGGCAGCGAGGTGGTCCGGCTCGTCAAACGGTTTGCCTACGGCAACGGTGGCGCCTCCGACTAAATTGGAGACCGAGCAAAGCAGTTCAATTTGTATCGCTGCTTCGTGAAGGACGAGTGGAGTAACATTTTGTTTTGGACACTCGTATGTCATACTCCTCAAAATACAAAGATGCCATAAACTTAGACATATATTTTTTCTCTTCTCAACATATGCATTTGATTTGAATTTATTGCCAATTTATTAAGGATTTCGCTACAAATCAAATGTCAGATTTTTTAGCATTGAAAAAATCATACATCCAAGATGACAAATTATGTCGCCACGAGCGGTTTTCTTTAACAAACATGGCAAATCGGTTCCTTTTCCTAGGATCCAACACTATTAAAAAGAAAAAGTAAACTTTCTAGGATCCAAGGTGACGGGTTTTTTGTGGCCTCAGGAGCGGGCTTGGAAGCGGTCCGGACTCCCGCAAACCTCCCCCATTTTTGTCTACAGTTTGCGGGAGAAATCGCATCTGGACCGCATGACAGACCGTTACAGGACCGCATTGAATGGCTTTCACGGTCCGGACAGCGCGATCCGAACGGTTGCGGAGGTTTACAGATCTGCCTTGGAGATGCCCATACGACAACATAATCTGACGCAAAAACATTAAATTTGTCATGCCTACAAATCTGATGTCAGATTTTAATCATTTTCATTTAAAATACATACTTCTAAATGACCATCTAAACACCACCAGTCATTGTTAGGGTGTTTGCCTTTTCGCTAAAATGCAGCTGATGGTTCATGAGCCGTCACTATTCTAGATCGAACAATTTTCTTAGTGTTTTGGTAAGTTGTTCTCTCTAGATCCAACGATATGTGCTTATTTCTTAATTGACTTATTTCTCAAACCACCACAACAACCTCCTCAATTCAAGCGGATCAAGCCTTATATCTAAACCTCTAGCACCAAGGAACACCGAATGTCCTCTTCTGCTCACGAGTTCAGATGAGCTTTTGATGAACAGTAAATTTGAAAAGGCTGAAAATGATTCAAAAAAAAATCTGAATTCTTTTTGGAAAACTTCGATAAACGTATTGAGTGCTTGCAAAGTCTCATCATGGAATGGCAATTGTGGGTGTCGTGACAAAAGAGTCAGCACTAAAAATTGCATTTGAAAATTGCATTTTTGGAGCATCGTTTTTTTTTCACGACTTCTATGAATGTCATTCAATGATAAGACTTTGCAAGCACTCAAAATATTAGTCAATGCTTGCTACATAGTTTTTAGAATTTTTACAGTCTATTTTCAGAATTTTCAGATTTTATTGTTGGCCTGAGCTTATTTGAGCTGGAGCTAAGAAACATCACGTCCCAAACAGCATCCTCTTCCTATCCAGCCTCAAAACTAACTCCGGCGCCTCATTCATTGTCGCCGTTCACGGTGCAATAGTCACGTCATCGGTAACTCTACTTCATTACCCTAGATCTCCTATGAGATTCCTTTCTTGTACCCGTTGTCGACAAATTTGCCTCATTGTCTACCTATTGTACATAATAAGATACTACCTCTGTAACTAAATATAAGTTGTTTTCGTCTTGTATTTAGTTACGGAGGGACCTTACTCATGACATGAACACAAGGCATCCCCACTCCAATAAATAGAGAGGATGATGGAAGCATCCAACACTATTAAAAAGAAAAAGCAACCGCCTGATGTCTACAAGCATGAAAGATACTTCAGATGGCTTGTACCCTTTTTTTCTTTGACGTGTTAAGGTAGGAGCTCCCCCGAATTAATTTTGAGGAGAAAAACAAATACCGGGCGAACATGTTTATTACCGAAACTAGGCTGAAAACCATAACAATAACTAAGAAAAAACAACCACTAGCCACAACCCAAGCACACCACCAGCACCTAACATACCATCTCCTCGGAAAGTTCGAAGGGAAAATCTTCGAAAACGCCTTCAAGAAGGTAAACGACGTCTGAAAACATCTCCATCACCGACATCTTCCCCGTCGACTCCAAAGCTTTCACCCTGATCCGCGCAAAACCGCCCCAACAAACCCCAGCAATTGTTCGGCCTAGTGAACAGCCTCTAAACGCCGCATCGACCCCAACCGGCCACAACCCAATTTGAAGTACTCTTCGACAACGTCGCCCATAGGCGCCAACATCGCCAACAATGACCCCCATCCAAGAACAAGGCTTTCGTCCAAAGCTTTATACCTCACCACCTCAGACCCCGGGGAGCGACCTAGGCCAAGCCACTGCGAAACATGCGAGACCAAGCTGTGACTCCGCCCGCACTCTACAGTGGCAAAACAAACCAAGAGGAACGGAGGACGCAATGGCCTGCACGTCACCATTGTGGATTGCCTGCATCGACATCGGCACCACCACCACTGCAACGAGGGCCGTGACAGGCCACAAACGCTGCCCACACCCACCATGCGAACCGACTCTAAGAGGAAGTGATGCCACACACCCACCGGCATCACCACCCGCACCACGCGGTGCCACCGCCGAAGCACACCACCGCAACCTCACCAGAGCACCGATCCGACCGAGTAGCGCCGCCTGCAGACCATGCAGGTCTGGAGCAGCAGCTCCAATCCACTCGCAACCGACCAGAGCAGCCCCCCACCATGCGCAACTTGAAGGAAATATGCCCCAGAGGCAATAATAAAGTTATTATTTATTTCCTTATTTCATGATAAATGTTTATTATTCATGCTAGAATGGTATTAACCGGAAACTTAATACATGTGTGAATACATAGACAAAACATAGTGTCCCTAGTATGCCTCTACTTGACTAGCTCGTTAATCGAAGATGATTAAGTTTCCTCACCATAGACATGTGTTGTCATTTGATAAACGCGATCACATCATTAGGAGAATGATGTGATGGACATGACCTATCCGCTAGCTTAGCATTATGATCGTTACAGTTTCATTGCTACTGCTTTCTTCATGACTTATACATGTTCCTCAAACTATGAGATTATGCAACTCGCGGATACCGGAGGAACACTTTGTATGATATCAAACGTCACAACGTAAATGGGTGATTATAAAGATGCTCTACAAGTGTCTCCGAAGGTGTTTGCTGGGTTGGCATAGATCAAGATTAGGATTTATCACTCTGTGTTTCGGAGAGGTATCTCTGGGCCCTCTCAATAATGCTCATCACTATAAGCCTTGCAAGCACTGTGACTAATGATTTAGTTGCAGGATGAATTATTACAGAATGAGTAAAGAGACCTGCTGGTAACGAGATTGAACTAGGTACAATGATACCGACGATCGAATCTCGGGCAAGTAACATACCGATGACAAAGGGAACAACATATGTTGTTATGCGGTTTGACCGATAAAGATCTTCATAGAATATGTAGGAGCGAATATGAGCATCCAGGTTTCGCTATTGGTTATTGATCAGAGATGTGTCTCGATCATGTCTGCATAGTTCTCGAACCCGTAGGGTCCGCACGCTTAACGTTCAATGACGATTTGTATTATGAGTTATGTGTTTTGATGACCGAAGTTTGTTCAGAGTCCCAGATGAGATCACAGACATGACGAGGAGTCTCGAAATGGTCGAGACATAAAGATTGATATATTTGACCATGTTATTCGGACACCCGAAGTGTTCTGGGTAAAAACGGAGTGCCGGAAGGGTTACCGGAACCCCCACGGGAGCTAATGGGCCACCACGGGCCTTAGTGGAGAGAGAGGAGAGCCGCCAGGGCAGGCCGCGTGCCCCCCTCTTAGCAGTCCGAATTGGACAAGGGAAGGGGGGGGGGCTTTCCTACTCCCTCCCCCTCTCTTTCCTTCCCCCTCTCTTCCTTGTAGAGGAATCCTACTAGTCCTAGTAGAACTCCCTCTCCTTGGCGCGCCGCCCTAAGATCGGCCGGCCTCCCCCTCTCCTCCTTTATATATGGGGGCAAGGGGGCACCCTAGGAGACACAAGTTTCTCTTAACCGTGTGCGGTGCCCCCCTCCACAGTTACACACCTCGATCATACCATCGTAGTGCTTAGGCGAAGCCCTGCGCCGGTAACATCATCATCACCGTCGCCACGCCGTCGTGCTGACGGAAGTCACCCTCGTCCTCAACTGTATCAAGAGCACGAGGGACGTCATCGAGCTGAATGTGTGCTGAACGCGGAGGTGCCGTACATTCGATACATGGATCGGTTGGATCGCGAAGAAGTTCGACTATATCAACCGCGTTACTAAACGCTTCCACTTTCGTTCTACGATGGTACGTGGACACACTCTCCCCTCTCGTTACCATGCATCTCCTAGATAGATCTTGTGTGATCATAGGAATTTTTTTGAAATTACTGCGTTCCCCTACACAACTGCCTTGCCCCTCGCACGTCTCTGATCAGCCAGCATCACTGCATCCCACCAATGTCCCATGCCAGCTAGATCCAGGAACGAGGCCGCCATGTACAGCCAAAACAACATGTCGCCGTGCATCCACCGCGAGGAGGAGATGAGGTCACAACCACCCTAGCGCCCAACACCACAGCGTCATAGATGCGCCAGATGTGCCGCTTGAACTCCATCGCGTCTGCGCGCCCACAACCCCCATGCCGGCCCAGCACCAGCGCCACCGCCGAAGAGAGAGCCCACATCCGCCACCCGGCGCCCAGCCTTGCGTCGCACACCGTGCAACCGAGCAACCGAGTGTTGGAGTCCCACCACCGCCGGCTGCCGCCTGGGCTTTGC